TTTTAATACAAAAAACTAGATATGTGGACCATCATTTTACAGTTTACAGAATTGATCTAGCTCATTCCGTTTGGGAGATATAACGATTCTTGAGGCGACAAGTTTTTTTGAACGGCTTAATATTATGAAAGTTTTAAACAATACCTCACAAGTTAGAGTTTTCAAACAAGTTTTTATTAACAAAAACTCCATTATTTTATGTTTAATATTTTTTATATATAATTTATTTTACATTAATTTAGTAATAATTAATTATTAATACATAATGTATTTATAGTTATAACTATTTGCGAGGAATTATATCAAAGAGGGCTAATATACGTTACCTGAGGAATGTTTTGGACGCTTTGGATAATAAACTCGAGAGATTTCAGTAAGTCTTATGTCTTGTAATTCTTGTTTTTTAAATTTATTACTTTTTTAAGTTAATTCTGTCCAAAAAGAAAGTATTTATTAATCCATATTTTATATATTGGTTCAATAATTTACCATTCGTTTTTTGTGAACAATTTTTCACACATTATTATTATTTATTGTGAGTTTTAAAACTGAATTACTGTTTTATTATTGAACAGTATTATGTTATGACATATAGTAATAGATTGTTTTAAACTAATTTATGGTTTAATTCTAATCGATATCTAACAAGTATTGATATATTACTTTATTGTAAAATTTAATTTTTAATGATTTCGTACTCAATAGTGGGTATATTTTTGCAAGATTTTGTGAAATTCAATATTAAATTTAATCAATCATTACAACAATATTTCTGATGTTTAGTTCAAATTTTGTTTCTCCTTTAATTCTATAATTATATTTCACATAAAATATATACTCAAAAATTGATTGTATTATACTTTAAAAGACTTTTACCGTCCGTATCGTTAGGAATCAATAAATAGATCATAAAACGTGAGCCCACACACAAACACATCTAATTTTACCTTAATACAATTTTTATCTAATTTTCTATAGCTAACATGTAAAAAATCGTGTTTATATAAATTACTAATTAATTACCAAAGATTAAATATAATTATGCCAAATTAGCTTAAGATTTAATAAAAATATATTCTATATTAAATATCATAGTTTTAACTAGTATATTTTTGGATTATAATAGGAGACTAAAGGGTTTATAAACTTTTAAAAATTAACATGCGAACAATTTCTTATTAATTTAGTATGTTTAAATATTTTGAATTATTTCAATTTGAATTTACTCAAATACAAATTACATTTATCGTAATTTCTATACATTTCACTATTCAATACCTACTTATTTAATAAATAACTTATTTACTATAAATATAGCCTAAGGTCTAAACATTATTGAAATATATTTCATAAATATTTAGTAAATACTTTTCAATAAATTTCATTTAAATATCAGATTAATTATTAAATATTTAATATACATATTAAATTCCAACTTTCGGTTACATAAAAGTGATTTTAAATTAACAAATATTTTATTAAAAAAAGAAATGTAGCTATGAATCCAAAAATTGAAAACAGATTATATAATATTATATTACGTAAAACAAACAAAAAACAAACTAAGATTCAAATTGTAATGGTTAAGAAAATTAAGATAAACTTTGAATATTTAATTAACAATGAATTTGTAAATGAAAATATAAACAATTTAAGACTAGTCTATATAGCAGTCGAGTAAAGGATTGAAATAAAACCAAGACTTAAATTGGAAATTATGAGCCGATTATCAAAACTAATTGCTTTGACTTTCAAACACTATTCGTTCATTTGTTAATAATTAAAATGTCATAAAATGGCAAAGAAAAGGCACTATTGTATTAGTAAAAACTACAAAAAACAAAATGTACATAAGGTTTATACAAAGTAACCTATGTCTTTTATCTTTAAATCAATTATACATCCTTTTTATGTGTGTTTTTTGGTTTTTAATCCAAAGAAAAGCGAATTAAGTTAAGTATGAAATCAAAATACCATAAATCATAAGCTAATAAAATCAAAGCTATTATTAAATTTAAAAGTTTTCCGTCCCTTTGTTTTTGTTGCCCTCCTTTTTATATTCAATTAAATGCGCGAATGTTTTGTAGGAATGCTTTTTAATTGCATTCAAACATCATATGAAAACATTTTTGTTGTTTTTAGCATTAAATGTGAAAAATAAACATTACATTTGAATTGAATGCATTGGATGTCATGTATTAAATCGTCGTATAATAGCATAAAATATAACAAAATCCTTTTTACAGACAATTTTAAAGCCAAAAATGGCATTTATTTCTCGGTAACAGACGTTTTGGTTTTTGTTTTAATTATTTATTGATTACTTGAATGTTGAATGAATTCATTATATCTATACAAATAACTGTCACACAAAATGTACAGACGATTCATTTAATGGCTTATATATAGAATATACACACTGTTTATACACAGAATTAAGGAATTGTGGCATAAAATATAGTTTTGTAAAGAACTGGCTTTTTATTATTAACATCTAATGGATGTCTAATACACACAGAATTACTATTTTATTAGTCTTATGAATATTTTTGTATCGGTTTTCTTATTTTATTTGTTACTATATTTGTTAGCAATAAATGGATTCAATTAAATATTTTATTAAATATAGGATATATTTTTTATCTGTATTTTTTCTATTCACTAAACACTGAATTTCAGTCAAATAAGTTAATAAGTATATATCAAAAGAGATGTTTTTATTCACGATTTTTTTATTAAATGTTTGATTTTTGGTCTCTAATGGAAATTTTTCTTTATTTAAATGCTTTTACTATTAATTCAAACAAAATATTATTAATTAGATTTGTGTTAGAGTAATTGTGGTTATTTCTTAATATGCAATAACATGATTAATTGAGTCTTATGTAACCATACATTCTACTGGTATTGATTGAAATATATTATGTAATTTATACATTTCATTATGCAATTATTTATAATCAATATATTTATGTATTTCTTTAATTTATATTTTAAATAAGTTTAATATAAAATTCAATTTGAAATTTGATACTATTCTTGATATACAACACAAGGAATTGAATACAATTTTTGTTTTACATTAAATGGTATATATTTTTAGATTTTCTTATATTTAAGGAGAGTTTTATGTTTTATATGAGAGATCAGAGAAATCAAAGATTCAAATCATGTGAAAGCAATGAAAATAAATTGGGTTTCATTAGACATCACAAGATTAGTGTCCATATAATCATTATTTCCGAGATTTCTTTATTTTGCCGAAATCTGTTTATTAAATATAAGACACTTTTATGACGATATTTAACCTATTTTTGTCTAAATGTTAGTATCGTTTGACTTTTAATAAATTAATTATCGCATTATATTTACGGCTGTTTTTCTATTAATACAAATTGATTACAAGTGCTTTAATCAACTTAAATGTTATATCAATATTAATACATATTATTATTATTATTAATATTTTGATTAACTCTCAAATTATATCAATAGTAAAACCTTAACATTGAATTCATTAATTTCATTACCAAATACTCATCTAAAACATGATAGCAAACCAAACAAATGTGTTAGAAATCAATGATTATAATAATTATATTTCAAACCTTTATAATATAATATTATGTGTATAAATGTTTTACAATATACAGTCGATTACAATAATTAAACTCATGTTTTATGCGTTTAGTCTTATTTTGATAGATCGAGAATATAGTTTTTAATTTAATAAATTTATGCATTATTTTTCCTCTCAATTATTTATTATCAAATTAGACTCACTTTAAAATTTTTATCAGATTTTTTTTGTAAACAAATCGTCTCTAAATTAAAACAAATGAATGTTTAGTTTTTGAAAAAAAGAAAGAAAAGCATAATTTCCAAACTTTATACTCATATATTGACTGAAATAATTACAAACCATTCGTTGCCGTGATTTATATAAATATTGACAATAATCATGTTTTGAAAACATACAACATATTACATATACAACACTTAATGAATGGAAATTCTAGTTTTTAAAAGGTTTTAAACTGATATTAAATAAATAGTGAATAGATATAGTGATTGTTGTTGTGATTTAAAATGTGAAAAAGATGTGAAAGTGATATATTTCTAGGAAGAGAACGTGTTATATAAACGCCGGAATGAACCATAACTGCGATTTCAAAGACCTCATCTCCGCGATGAACGCCCGGCGCTTCTGGGAGTCCACACACTCTCCCGGCAGGAGAAAGAGGAATATCGTTAGACCCGACCTCATGACCGACTATTTAAGACCAGTCCCACAGTCCGCACATTCACTATTTATTTAATATCAGTTTAAAACCTTTTAAAAACTAGAATTTCCATTCAT